CATAGAGCTTCTCATGCTTGGTGACTGGCACTGCTCCACTGCTGCCCTGCCCACTCACTGCCATACTCAGCCCGCTCACATCCTCCTCACTTCGAGCTCGTCCTTAACAACCTTCAACAAGAAGCCCTTGAGTTGTAGCCATTGCCCCTTCCTTGCTACCAGTTTTCATATCACTGCTACCAACTCCCCCTTCTCATTAATTGCCTTCGTTTTCTCTACTCCAACTGCCTTCTCACCTCTTTCACATTTACCAACATTCTTCGCTGTCCCCTCGGATTCCTCCTTGTCGCTCGCAATCCCTTGTCCCCTCCAACCTCTTCCTTGTCTCCTTCTATCCCCTCCTTGTCCCCTACAATCTTCTCTGTGCCCGCTCCAGCTCCCCTTCAAGCGCACAGATTTGAGAAAGAATGCACGCATCTTTTCTCACTCCCTGCGCTCCCTTGCTGAGGAACGAAACAAGGCCAGAGGTCAGCGGATAAAGAACAAAAAGCTTCAAACCAAGGAATGAAACAATAATGAGACATGACACATACGGATGCAAAGTATAGCAATCCTTATATCCCTTCTTCCACTTGAGGACAAATATTTTTCCAGGCTTGACAACCTCCGCACGACGAGAGGCCGCTTGCTTCATTGGCAGTTAGAAAATCAGGGGATGGAGCATGCTGCTTGGTGGCCTGTCTTGATGGGAGCGCCATCCATTTAAACGGGCCACCAAGCAGCATGCTCGATCCTTGCGCTTTGCCTCTTATGGATAGAAGTGTGAAGCAAGTAGTGTTGCAAGTGTAGCAGGAACCAGAACGTCAATGGAGGACTCCCCGATGGAATGACAAACACTATTGAAGTGCTTACCTCAACACCGAGAGACTTACCAAGCTTGCTGCGATACAGCCGCTTCCTTCTTGAAGAGCGATCTGAGCTCTTCCTCGGTGTCCATTTCCTCGTCCGTTTCATCGGGATCCGCATGCGTTGGCACTTGGCGCTTTCCACTGCTGCCGAATCCTCACTCTCTGCCACGCTCAAACCATCCACCTGCTCCTTAGTGCGCGTCCCTTCCTTCGTTTGCTTCTCCAACTCTTGCAACCAGACCTATTCAACCACCTGCCCCTTCATTGTAACCAGCTCACCCTTCACCTCAATCAACTCTTTCTTGACTGCTACCAACTCCCCCACCAACTCTTTCTTGTCTGCTACAAATTCTTCCACCAACTTGTTTTTGACTTCTATCAAACCCCTCTTCACTGCTGCCACCAACTCTTCCTTCACCGCTGCTACCAAAAATTATTTGAAAGCCACCAACTCCCCTTTCACATTCGCCATCACCTCTTGCTCTCTCTTGCCTGCTCAAATTTTCTGGGTCCATAGCTCTCATTCTTTCAGCCACCTCCAGCTCCCTCCTTGCCTCCGCCAATCCTTTCCTTGTCTCCTCTGTTATTTCCTTGCCACCTCCTGTTCCCTCCATGTTTCCTCCAACTGCATTTCAAGCGCACTTATTTGAGCTACCACAGCCATACTCAGCACATATGTTGCCTCCTGCTGCTCTCCATGAAGAGACGCATATTTTTCCACTCCCTGCATTTCAAGGCTGTGGAAGGATACTGTGCATCTTTTTTGCCACAGTCAGTACAAGGTGGAGAGATGGAAGCATTGAAGCAAGGCCTCAATTCCGTGCTGTGCTAGTCTGAAGAATTAGAGTTGGTACAAACATTTGTGTTGAAAATCATACAAATAAGCCATTTTAGTATTGCTTAGGAAAATATGTCTCAATACCGTCCTTTTTTTTTTATTGTTTTTGTTTTTTTTTTCTAAATGTCAGCCCTGCCTCCACCTATAGCTCATATTGTTGGACCGAATGCTCTAAGCGTTGGTGAACAAATATCTTGTACGTAATTGAGCGGTAACTCTTCCCAACAATACGCAGCTTTGAATAATTTCCGCAACATGAAAGGAGCAAGATGGCATGCCACCCTTCATGCTGAGTGAGTGGCACATGCATTGTGCATTGTGCGCCAGTGGCTTCAAGGCGCGTTACGTTGCACGAGGCTTCAGTCAGCGAGAGGGAGTTGACTTCTTCCAGACCTTCTCCCCGACCCCGAAGATGACCACTCTTCGGGTTCTGCTGCACGTCGCCGCTCAGCGTGACTACGAGCTCCACTCTCTTGACTTCAGCACTGCTTTCCTACAGGGCAGCCTGCACGAGGAGATCTGGCTGCGCCGCCCACCTGGCTTCACTGGGTCGTTCCCTCCTGGTTCCCTCCGGCGGCCAGTCTACGGTCTCCGACAGGCGCCACGTGAGTGGCACGACACACTGAGGACTACACTTGCGGCTCTTGGGTTCGCTCCTTCTACTGCTGACCCGTCGCTGTTTCTACGCACCGACACCTCGCTGCCGCCGCTCTACATCCTCGTGTACGTCGACGACTTGGTCTTTGCCACTGCTGACACTGCGGCACTCGCCCACGTGAAGTCGGAGTTGCAGAAGAGACACACGTGCACAGACCTGGGTGAACTGACAAGCTATCTTGGCTTGCGGATCACCCGGGACAGAGCACGGCGCACCATCACCTTGACTCAGTCACACATGGTGCAGCAGGTCCTTCAGCGCTTCCGCTTCACGTACTCCTCGCCTCAGCCCACTCCTCTGCCTACCGGTCACTCGCTCTCAGCTCTGCCTTCGGATGAGTCCGTAGAGCCGAGTGGCCCGTATCCAGAGCTTGTGGGCTGCCTCATGTACCTGATGACCTGCACTCGACCTGACCTTGCATACCCTCTTAGCATCCTTGCACGCTATGTCGCTCCTGGCCGTCACCGGAAGGAGCACATGGATGCCGCTAAGAGGGTGTTGCGCTACTTGTGCAGTACGTCGGGCATGGGGCTAGTGCTTGGAGGACGAGACCGAGTTGTACTCACTGGGCACTCAGACGCGTCTTGGGCTGACGACCAGGCTACTCAGCGGTCGTCTCAGGGTTACACCTTCAGCCTTGGCTCTGGTTCAGTTTCTTGGCGTTCTACACGCTCGTCTTCTGTTCTCAGCTCCAGTTGTGAGGCTGAGATCTACGCCACAGCCATGGCTGCACAGGAGTTACGCTGGCTCACCTACCTGCTGACCGACTTGGGAGAGCGGCCTCGTTCTCCTCCAGTGCTGTACGTCGACAACAAGGCTGCCATTGCCTTGTGTGAGGAGCACAGACTGGAGCACAGAACGAAGCATATCGCTCTGCGCTACTTCTTTGCTCGAGAGCTGCAGCAGCGCGGTCAGCTTCGTCTGCGTTACGTGGCCACTCGGGCCAACACTGCTGATGTGTTCACCAAGGCGCTTCAGCCTTGTGACCATCAGCGCTTCTGTACTGTTCTAGGCCTCGTGCCTACTGGGCCTCACTTGCTTACTTCTTGACTTTGCTTGTACTGTGATCTCTGTATATATACCTGCTTGTTTACTCTTGCTAGGTTGTGATCACTGTATCTCTTGTTATACTATCAACCTGCATGTGAACTGGTCTTGTGACCACTTGCTTGTGCTCAGAATTTGTGTGGTTTCCTTGAGATCCACCCTGAGCTTGCTTTGCTTTGCTTTGACTGGTCTTGTGACCATCTGGTTGTCTCCCACTTAGCCTATGGGGGTGTGTCAAACATTATATGTTTATATTGTGTAGGCTATAGTGGGTTTAGCCTTAGGGGGTACAGCTTTGTTAGGGTTTCCTACTTGTATCCCCCTCCTACCTAGTTTCATGCATTCTCGTTCTATTCTAGATTCTAACACACACTCCGGCGGTGTTCGCCAGCACACGACAATTTGAAAACAATTCGACGGCATTGGGATGGCCGTGGAATCAGGAACCGGGGGCGGAACCCGGGAATAGGTTTGGGCTGAATGCCACTTCGCGAAATTTCGCGCCTGAAATCGGAAACGTGACAACGACATCAGGAACCACCCTCCCCACCTTCAGCCCTCCCCTCCTGGCAACAAATCCCATCGCCATCCCAAGGCAATTCCCCGTGAAATGGTGAATTGCGATGGAATGGCATGAGGCGGGATGGTTGCTCGGGGAAGAAATTGCTTCCCCATTTCTAGATGCCATGAAACCGTCTGAAATGGGGGAAAATTGTGGGCATTCGCCAGGCCCTCGATATTCCATTTGGGTCGGACGCCATCGTAGGTTCGGCGGGATTGTTACGGGCTGACTATGCTGACGGACCTTAACGAACCCTAACTGACGGGATCAGGAAGGCGTGACTGACCTTCCTAATCCCGTCATTTTTGCTGTTAGTTGCGCTGGCGAACACCGCCTCCGATTGGAGACCGTATTTCGTAGCCGAGCTCGTATGCATGAAATTGTGATGACTGTTGATGTACTTTCCTGATTGTGGTCGGAACTATTCCCTCGATGGCTGGGAATACAACGAATGTTTGCGAGGGTCGCAAATGTGTTACTTCCGCGAGAAACAGGTCATTCGACAAATGGATGTTCCACGCCTGAGGATGAATGTTGTTGTTTTCCCAGGAAAGCTGTGACCCAAACCAGTACTGTGTGAGAGTGGATGCACTGCACACTGGTGGAGTGAGTCTAAGCATGCAGCAAGTGCTTGGATCTTCCGTCACGCCACATGGCAAAAGGAAGGTTCTGTGTGCGAAGGTGAACAGCGTGGCGGAGATGAAGGGGGGAGCGAGGGCGATGGCGGGAGATGCGGTTGCGGTGCAATGAAGTATAGCTGCCGCGATGCCTTGGCCACGTGTCGGGGTTTTCCTTGCGTTGAAGGCGGCCATGCGGAGAGACCAAGCAGCCATTTTTCATCGCCTGTCCCTAGCATGGTTCGTCGTAGCGTGTGTGAGTCGGTGAGCACCCCTCGAGCAAGGTCAGCGTGAGCTCCCCGCAGATCGCGCGTCTCTTCGTCCTGTCTCTTTTTCAAATCGGCTGTGAGTTTTCGTCGCGATAGGAGCACGTCAGCGGCTGGGGCATGTGGGGCAGAGCGGGCGGCGGAGCGCGGGCTCAGCGAGGTCGATGAGGCGCGCGGCTGGCAGGGCCCCACTCTACGCGCACTCCACCTCCTTACTGCTTCTTCAACCTCCTCGTCTTCGCCTTCCCGCGCGCTCTTTTCTCGCCGCCTTCCCGTCCCTCGCCATGCACTGCGCCACCCCCCCTGCCACCGCTCTGCAACGCCCTGCCCCCCGTGCTCTCCCCGTGCGGCATGGAAACGCCCCCCGCCCTCTCGCCTTGGCCCGCCTCGCCGTCACGCTCCCCTCGCAGCGTCGCGCGCAGCCCTTCCGATTCCGCGCCTGCTCCGACCGCTGCTGCCCGCACTGTCCACCACGCCGCGCGCCTCGAGAAGCACGCATGTTGCCCGCTCTCATGCCTCGTTGCCCGCCAGTCCCTGCGCGCCGCTCCCCCATACTACTGTACCTGTCCGCGCGGCACCTCCTCGTCTCGCGCGCGCCCATCGCCACGAGCAGCGCCCCACCCTACTCTGCGCGCTCATGCGTGGTGGGCGCCGACTGGGGGCGCAGTGCGGGTAATGCGCAAGGGGGGGCGGCCACGTGGGGAAGAAGAAGGTGGCGGAGGTGGGAGGGGCAGGCGGCGCAGTGTGGTGGGGGGCTGGAAAGGCTGTGGATGAGGGGGTGGCTGGTGGGTGCTCACACGGCGTATGGGCAGGCGAGAAGCACACATGCGGTGACGGCACAGGGGGCAGGGGGGGACAGCGACGAGGCGCATAGGCGAGGGCAAGGGCAAGAGCAGGTGGCGCAGGCTCAGGAGCAGCAGCAGGTGGGCGCAGCGGGGGAGGGGGGGCGTGGAAGAGGCATCGGCAGCAGCAACGCCAGCGTCGCGTGTGGAGGTGCAGCTAGTAGCTGGTAGCATTCCTGACTCCCTGGGCAGCATCAGCACCCTTGAGCGACTGTACGCACCCCCTGCTGCTCGCACACACTCCTTGGCCTGTTGCAACATGCGCGGCCATAAATCCATCGTCATACCCACTACATCCATTGCACCATCGCTAGCATTGTACTGCTCCCTCACCCCAACCGTGCTCATGCCATGCGCTCCTGCTTCCTCTTTTTTACCCGCCCCGCCTTGCCAGTGTACTCAGCGGGAACTCACCTTCAGTCAACTCACCAATCTTGAGCAGCGGTCAGTGCCCTCACACGCCACTCCCTCTTGCCTCATGCACCTGCCAGCCACCACTCTTACATGTGACTTCCACCGCCCTTGTCGTCCCCGTGTTCCCTGCACCGCCCCCATGCTTCTTTTGCTGCCATGTATGATATGATGTACCTCACCAATCACCCTCTCTCCACTTTCCCTCCTTTTCCCGCCATGCCACCTGCCTGCCTGTCTGCCCCGTCCGCAGCGACCTGGCGTGGTACGGAATCAACGGCTCCATCCCTGCGTCCCTTGCTGCCGTCGCCTCCTCTCTCACTCACCTGTTCGTGCACACGCTGACACAACTCTGTCTCTCTGCCGCTTCCTCCTCCTTATTTCGTCATGTTCCTGTGTTGCAGAATATGAACCAGCGTCACACACATGCATAAGCTGTCAGCTTGTATGGTGTGCTTTTGCACCCACATCCTTCGTACCACCATTTACTCCTGCAACGCTCCACATCATGCACCTATCCTCCAGATCATGCGTCCATTCTGCATGTTCACTGAAGGTCCTGCTCTCTCATCCTATTGCTTGGAGGGCATGTGTGTGTGTGTTTATTACTTCCTGTCCCCTGCTCCCCACTCCTTGTGCTCTCTTGTGCTTTGTTAATTACTTCATGTCCCCTGCTCCTCACTCCTTCGCCCTCTCCTGCCCACCACCCACTCACACCTGTACCACACCCCCCCCTCTGTCGTCCTCTCGTCTGCAGGGACTTATCGATCAATGAAATAGCAGGGACTCTCTTTGACATGGCCAACATGACCTCTCTCGCAACACCGTAATCTCCCTAAAAACTCCGTGAGTGACCGCCCTTTCGCTTTGACCACAATGACTCTCATTCCCTCCATCCCCTTAGCCTCCATGCATGCAGCGCTGTGGGCTCCAACAAGCTGCAGGGCGCCATCCCAAGCTCCATCGCCGCACTCCACCTGCTCTCCCACCTGTATGCTCTCCCACCTGGGTCCGGTTAGGGAGGACTCGCTGTTTCTTCTTGCCATGTGCACTCACACATGCAAGTTGGTTGTAGGAAAGTTCAGAAGGCGTTCTATGCACAGTAGAAGCACCAACCGCCACGCCAGGGGGTTGACAACACTTGTGTGTATGTGGCTTTGCAGCACTCGCACCCACTAGTCACCTCATCCCATTGGGCATATACATCCTATGCTCACATCGCTTACCCCCTCGACTCGTTGCCACTCAACCGCTGCTTTGAAGCCCTGGTCCCCTCGTCCACTACCCATGGCAGGTCTCTTGAGTACAACAACCTCATGGCTCCATTCCTAAAGCCATTGGGGATCTCTCGCTGCTCACTCTCCTGTATGCACCACCATGCCACGTGCTCTTTGTGCCATGCACCACGGCACCTCATGCCTGTAGGCTGTAGCACACATGCAGAGGAACCAACATTGTTTCCCCCCCCAATGCCATTCCTTCCGCACCTTCGTCAACTTCTCAATTGTTTCTCCCCCTCCCCCTCTACCCGCTCTCTCACGTTTCTCTCTCCGTTCGCTTCTGCAACCAATGCATGGCATGCTGTCACGTCAGCAACACAGGAGCCAATCCGCTGATGGGACCCTTGCCGGAGAGCATTGGCAACTTGACCAACCTTCAGCTCCTGTGAACCTTGCGTGCCGTCAGATCCCACTCTCTCTCAATCTCCTGGCCACACCAGTGTATACGTTTCGCATATCAATATTCTTCAGACTCTTTACCTTCATCTTCTGTACCACATGCCAGCACCAGGCATATTGTGTGGTGGTGGTGCGCGTGTAGTGACACACCTATTCATGTCGCCATCCCTGCACCCCTGCACACCACCCATCCCCACAGCGATCTCAGCTTCAACCATCTCAATGGCACTCTGCCTCGCTCCATCACTCAACTGCACAAGCTCACTTCCATGTCAGCTCTCTTCCATGTCAGCTCTCTTCCATGTCAGCTCTCTTCCATGTCAGCTCTCTCCCATGCAATAAGGCTCCCTTACCTTGCTTTCCCAATTCCCATTTACACACTAACTTGCCTGCCCGCACCTGTGCTCACCACTGCACTACAGCCACCTGGCCCTCGCTCATACTGCACTACTGGTGCCGTTCCAGCTTCGCTCTACCTCGTCTGTCAGTCTACCCTTGATGCATGCTTCTCTGTCACCCCAGTGGCCTGAGCAACAACAGCTTCAGCAGTGTGCTGCCAGAGAACATCACGGCACTGACCACCCTTCAGCAGATGCATGCTGCCCTTCCGTTCCATTGCATGCTGCGCACTATACCACACCACCCTTCCACAACCCTATTTCTCATCTACTTATTTTGCGTCTCCACTTGCCCTCTTTCCTGGTCATCTGTCTCACTTGCCTGCAATCACGTGTGCGCGTGTCTGTGTCCCTGGCAGCAACCTCGTTGAAAACCGGGACCTCACTGGCGTGCTGCCTCCAGGCCTGGGCGCCCTCACCGCTCTCATCTCACCATGCTGTCAGTCACCGCTGCCGCCCTCCAAGAATCCCCATCAACCCGCATAAGTCAATCCCACTCTGCTCACTGCCTTTGACTGTTCCACATGTGTGTGCGGTTCACACACAGGTGCAACTATGCTAATCACAGCCTCTCTCTTGCTCTCTACCCCACCACCGCAGTGATGTGACCAACACCTCGCTCATCTGCCCCTCCACGGACGCCGCCTGTGACGTGCCTCAGACGTTGCTCTCGGCCTTCTGCATCCAGTGCCCCATCTACTGCCGCCACTGCATTCAATCCGGTCAGTCCTGCAATTATTTGCACGGCCTGGCGTGTGCATGTGTACACACTTATTCTTCGCTCTCCTTGTCTAAGCGCATGATCCCCGTGTATGTTTCCACGTCTCTTGTCGAAACGGGTGCCCCGCCACCGCCCCCAGCTCCTCCAGGCTCCCAGCTCCATACTTCCCAGGAAATCATGCACCGCCCCCTTCACCTGCCACACCGCCTGTTCCTCCCATGGGCCGCCCCATTAACCGGCCTCAACTCGTCACCACCACCGCAGCCAGCAGCAGCAAGGGGGGCCTTTCTGGGGGCGCCATAGCTGCGAAGTGATCGGGCTGCTCATTGTGCTCATCACTGCTGCTGGCCTCGCATACATTGTCATCACCCACAAGCCCGACTCGACGGACCAGCAAGGCAGGTTCCGCCCCTGAACCTGCATATTTTCATATGGCGCTTTGGTGCTGCTGTGCAAGCTCACTTAGAAAGCAACCCCCTCCAGTGGTCTTTGGAGCATCACCATACATATGATAATGCCTCGTGGGTTTGATATCGTGGTAGAACTACGTACCTTAATTACTGTCTCCCCCCTCCCTTCAAACACGGCAGATCTTTTAAGGAACGACGCCCTTGGGACTGGCTCTATGGGTTCAAATCGTCAAGCATACTACTTTGACATAGGTGAGTTGGGCTTCTTTGGGTTTTCCTTTCTCGTGAGTAAGTGCTACTTCTAACGTTGTTTTGGAGCATTGTCATGCAAATTGCCCGATTCAAGATTAGGCATCACCCCCTGCAGCTTATTTAAACTACCGCATCATGTAAACTATCATGTATGCTGGTACGTGAATGAAAGCGTTTGGTATGCTGTCTTTGTTGCTCAGATACCGCCAGCCCCCGGATATAAGCGCAGGCCTCGGATAAGCGCCGGGCGCTTATAAAAGGCAATGGCAGGGCAGTTTTTATCAAGGTAATTACCCTGATTTCAGGGTGATTACAAGCTTTCCACTTTGTGGAGACTGAAATTTCAGAATTAATGAGTTCTCAACCCTGATTCAATCAGAGTAATATATTTCTTATCCCTGATTTTGAGTATAGTGTAACAGAATAGCCTGTTAGTGGACCCTGACTTAACAGAGTATCGAGTATGTGGTCCCTGAATTGACCTTATCGGGGAGAAGTTTCTTCGAAATTTCCTTCCGATAACCCCGCCTTCGGATTGATCGCAGTACAGCCAGCGCGTGAGCGACCCTGAATGACATTATTGAAACGAAGTTTCCTACAAATTTTCTCCCGAAACACTTACCATCGAGATCGTACAGCGATTTTCCAGAAAACTTTGTACGAGTACCCCCATGTGCGTAGCCCCCCGCTTTATCGGGACGAAGTTTCTTCGAACTTTCGTTCCGATACACCCACCATCGAGGTTCAGTTTCGATAATGCACAGCGCGTTACTACTCTGATACTGACTTGTCGACCCTAAACAACCAGACTACATAACTTTCCAACACTAAGCAATCAGGGTGCTATTTTTCTGAAAAATATTCCTTCAGGGTAAACACGGAAATTTTAGGTGGAACTTAGGGTATCTAAATTTAAAACGTCAGCCTGGCATATGGCGCTTATGTCAGAATGAGAAGGAACGAATGATTGAACTAGCAAGCAGGTGGGTACAAGTAGGAAACCTAGAAGTGTTGTACCCTATATGGACTACCCCACTCCAGCCTACACAGACTATGTCATATATGTTTGACACACCCCCATAGGCAAAGTGGGGGAGAACAAGAGGTCACAAGACCGGTCAAGAGAGGCAAAGCAAGCTCAGGGTGGATCATGACGTCACCACGCAGTCTGAGCACAAGCAAATGGCCACAAGGCCAATTCACATGCAAAGTTATATAAAGGAGAACAAGCAATACAGTGATCACAACCTAGCAAGTGTAAGCATGCAGGTATATGAAAATAGATCACAGTACAAGTAGAGTCAAGAAGTAAGCAAGTGAGGCACAGTAGGCACAAGGCCTAGAACAGTACAGAAACGCTGATGATCACAAGGCTGAAGTGCCTTAGTGAAGACATCAGCAGTGTTGGCCCGAGTGGCCATGTAAGCAAGACAAAGCTGACCACGCTGCTGCAACTCTCGAGCAAGGAAGTAGCGCAGAGCGATGTGCTTCGTTCTGTGCTCCAGTCTGTGCTCCTGACACAAGGCAATCATGGCCTTGTTGTCGACGTACAGAACTGGAGGAGAACGAGGCGGCTCTCCCAAGTCGGTCAGCAGGTAGGTGAGCCAGCGTAACTCCTGTGCAGCCATGGCCCCTGCGTAGATCTCAGCCTCACAGCTGGAGCTGAGAACAGAAGACGAGCGGGTAGACCGCCAAGAAACAGAGCCGGAGCC